GGAGGAAAGGAGGGAGAAAGTGAGGAAGGAGAGAGGTAGAGATAGACAACGAAAGAGGGGAGAGGAGGGAGGAAGGAGGGAGAGATGAGGAAGAAGGGAGAGAGGAGGAGGGAGAAAGGGAGGAAGCGGGAGGGCGAAAAGGAGGAAAGAGGGGGCAGGGAGTCGAGTCAGTCGACGTGTGCACGATGGGGGGGGTGGAGGTGTTTCGCGGAGTGAAAGGCCCTGTCGCTAACGTAACAAGGGAGAAAAAGAAAAAGAAGGTGATTGGATGGTGAAGTGTTCTAAGGACAGATGGATGGAGAGAGAGGGAGGAAGGAGGGACAGATGGATGAAGAAGAAGGGAGAAAGGAGGAGGGAGAAAGGGAGAGTTGGACAGAAGAAGAAGGGAGGAAGGAAGAGGTAGAAAGGGAGGAGGAAAGAGGGAGTAGCGAGGTGAAATGCGGAGGGAGAAAGGGAGGAAGGAGAGAGGTACAGATCGACGATGAAAGAGGGGAGAGGAGGAGGGAGGGAGGAGGGAGAGATGGATGAGGAAGAAGGGAGAGAGGAGGAGGGAGAAAGGGAGGAAGGAGGAGGGAGAAAGGAAGGAGGAAAGAGGGGGCAGCGAGTCGAGTCAGCCGACGCGTGGAGGATGGGAGGGGTGGAGGTGCCACGCGGAGTGAAGAGACAGTAGGAGAAGGGAAGAGCGAAGAGAGAGAGGGAGGGAAGGGGGGAGAGAGAGAGAGAGAGAGAGAGAGAGAGAGAGAGAGAGAGAGAGAGCTGGTGGCAACCCACCTCAAGCGGGTCGATGATTCCTCCTCGCTCCCGCTGCCTCCTGCTGTCTGCTGCTGCCTGCTGCTGCCTCCTGCTGCGTCCTGTTTCTTGCTCGGGCTGGTGCTGCTGGTGATGGGCCGGCACGACCTACGACGAACAACGACGAAAACGGACCACACGACGGCCACCAAGTAGACAAGGCACAACTGGCGGGTCGGTGAAGTGCCAGGGTGCCCAACGGCGGCGGCGGAGGCCTGAGTAGTTTGAAAACGGACTACTCAGATCTTCCCCCAAATGTTTTACCGGGCCTCCGCGCGGCCTGAAAAAAAAATTTCGCGCCCACGGAGTCAATTTCCCCCGGTACCCCTCTGGGCCTCCCACCCCCCCCGAACTTGTTTTTTTTTTTCCACGACCCCTGTTTTGGCCGATGCGCCGCATGCCATGCGCGCGCCGGCGCTCTGCGCCCTGCGCCGCACGTGCCGCGACGCCACGTACGCCATGCGCCGCAAGTATGGTTTTTTGTTTTCATTTTTCTCTAATTTTCTGATATTTTTCTTGGGAAGATGACAACCACCTAATCTACAGGATCTCGAATTTACAGATTTTTTTCTTGATTTTTCTGAGCGTGAGAAATCGCCAAAGTTGGCACACGAAAATTGAAGGACTTGACCTGCTTGCACCAGCCGATCGGCACCCTTCTAAAGACTTGCTCCGAACTCACCGGAGCGTCATTTTTCGGTGTTGAATAGAGTGGTGGTTTAAGCCGATGGGTAAAAGGGTGCTGAATGAAAGCCGTTCAATTTCAGAGACTCTCAAGTTATTATCCCAATATTCCTGTGGCGCTGATAGACTAGACGACTTATTTTGAGTCCTTGTTGCCCCCCAACGGTTTATGTATATGATTGCGTGTTCAGAGAGCTCCAGCATAAACCCTTGAGTATTGAGTGTTCCGACAAAGGCTTACTAGACGACTTATTTCGAGTCCTTGTTGCTCCTCAATGGTTTATGTATAATGTTCTTGTTATTCAATTCCCTGTGGTTGCACGTTCAGAGAGCTCCAACGCAAACCCTTGAGTATTAAGGGTTCCGACAAAGGCTTTTCACTACTATGATAGTACTATCTACTTTTTGCGCTGATTTTTGACATGACGTGGGAGCATTTTCTGTCATGACATCTTGTGTGGCATACTGCATAGCCACACGGGCCCTGTAGGACCCATCCCGGACATTCAGCCTAAAAGCCTAAAACTTAGGATCTACAGGCCCCGGTCGTTTCAGCCTGAAAACTGAAAAACGAGGGCCTGCAGGCCCTACTCCGTTTCAGCCTATTTCTGGGTCTTTCAGACCCAGAGTTTTTCCAGCCTGAAACGGAGGGCTATTCTTAGGCCCTGGGCTATTTTTAGGCCCTCATTTGTTTCGACCTGCCCTAAGATTCAGGCACAAAAACTGGGTTTCGGAACAGGCTATTTCTGGCCTGTTCCCACGCCAGCTCGAGCAGGAGCTGCAGCTGCAGCCCCTGCCTCCCTGCGGCATTATTGGCAAGAGCACGAGCAGGAGCTGCAGCCCCTGCCTCCCTTCAGCATTATTGGCAAGAGCAGCCTCTTGGACTGCTCGCCCAAGTCAGGAGGCACCCGTGATAGTATATAGGAGCTTCAGGCACTACACGGGCAGGCAGTTGGAGAGTAGGACGGTAGTCTTCAGATTTCGGCCGCAGCACTCAGGAGGAGCGCTGCAGTAGTCTTCAGCGCTAGGCAGTAGTAGCGTTAGCTGTAGTCTTCGGCGCTGGGCGCCCATAGCCATAGCTGTAGTCTTCAGCGCTGGGCGCTAGTAGGTGGTAGTAGTTGCAGTGGAGGGAGATGGCTGGCGGAGGCCAGCGGTACTTACCTGTGGCGCCATAGCTCCAGCTCCATCTTCGAGGTACCTGCATCAAGGCGCCAACTTCACAGGTTAGTACTGGACACAGAGAGAGAGAGAGAGAGTTCTTCTTCTTCCTCCTCTATGTCCACCATCTCTTCTTCCCCTCTCACCACCTGACTTCTCAGTATCAGCAGACTACTACAGAGAGAGAGAGAGTTGTGACTTGAGACTTGACGACATTGGATCCAGACTCGACCTTTGGGATTCAGACATTTCGACGAGGGACTATTTGGGCCTGTGCTGAACACTTGGTGTTGACGACATTCCCATCTTCCCCTCTTCTTCGTCTAACCCCCATCTCCTTCGTCTGTGTATGGTTGGGGCTGGCGCAGTCTTCCTGTGTGAAGCGCCAGACCCCTTCACACCATGGAATGAGGATGATGATGTATGTTTGGGGCTGCATTGCAATATTGATTGTTCGGATCATTGGTATCTAAGTCTTCCGCTGTGCTATTTTATACTTTGTATTGAAAGGTCGGTTCTTGTTCTGGTCTGCACCTATACGGTATGCAACATCTTGGCTCCATGATTAGTGTTTCTTTTTGTCCGTTACCGTGATCAAATCCGATGGCATGATTGGAATCATGTTGCGAGCTAAACCATCGCAACTAAGGCTATCTTTGCTCCAGCTATTGGGTGACTCACTGTTGATTGACCTCGCCGTGTTGGTAGGGAGCTGTCTTTTTCTGGCCAAACAGTTACATTTTCAGCTAGCTTAGAACTCCATTTCTGAGACTGAGATAATGTTTTGTCGACTGTCTTGCTGCGTCAGAATTTGGTTGATCTAGCAGGGTCGGAACGAATCACAAAGACAGGATCAGGTGGAGAACGTATGAAGGAGGGAACATTCATCAACAAGAGCCTCCACGTCCTTGGGAAGGTCATCAATAAACTAAGCGAAGGCAGTGACAGACTTGGGTATGTTGCATCTACGTATGCGGATCGCTATCTCTGAGAGTCAGGACTAAGAATCAAGATAGATCTCTATTATGGCAGTATTTGAGGAGATTTCGGCATTTGCGGTTGCACTCTGGAATTTTACGGCAGATGCTAACTTCAAGGAGCTGCGTTGTCATGGGTCTTGAACTTGTTGTTCTCTGCTCGATTTGCATGCCTTGACACTACTCAACCTAGTGGACACTTCATGCATGGGATCGAAACTCTTCTGAACCTATGGAAATCTGCTCCCTGTGTACGGGATTGAAACGTTCGTAGTTGCCATTGCACCCTATTTCAATCCTTGTAGCAACATCCCATTGCTGTCATCTAAATTTTTGAAACGAGGTCGCTATACCTCCCTGATGGCTGATTGGTATATGCAAGCTCAACAGATAACTTTACGTTTCGGTCTGCAAAACTGCTGTTACATTCCGCCTTCACTACCTGTTTGCTCCCAACCGCCTCTCTGTGTTTGCTCAGTCTTGTCTCGTTGTTCAACAGGTTGACGTTTAGTGTTGTCCGTCGTACTGATGAGTGTATGATGGAAAACATCATTTCGACACACTCTTCACTTTCCATAATTGAAAAGCTCCTCCGTCTCTTGTTACTCTCGTTTCTATCTTCTCCCACTCTTCTTACTGTCTCCTCTGTCTTCTTCTACTGGTTTGTGTTGGTCCTCTATGTGCAGCACGTTGTAAACCTCTAGGTGCGTCCTGATTAAGATTCCTCGCCCTCCGCATGGATGAAACCCAACCAGATGTAGCTGCCTGTACAAGGCAGTTGAATGCGCAAGTATTATGATCAATGAAGCATTTCCTAGAATCATCCACTCCCCACTCAGTTGATTCACTCATTAAATTTCATGCGCCATTAAATTTCATTCGCCAATTTGTTTACTTGTTCCCTTGGCTTGTTCATTGTTCGTTTTCACCTTTCCTTGCGCTTGCCCAACATTCAGTTCACTTATTCCGTCACTGTGTTTGCTCCCATCATCTGTTTATGCATCCTTTCAGTCATTCTTCTTCCTTCCCTCTCATCTCCCCCTTCTATTTGTTTCTTCTCGCTTTGTTGTTTGCTCTTCAATTCAATTGGAATTGCAACCTTGATACCCGTGTCCATTTTGATTTTTTCGTTTACTCGTCTGCTCCCCTGGAATTGAAATTACCAATTAGGTGCTCCGCCTGGGTGTGAAACACATTAAAACACCCTTTAAACCACTAGTACCTCGGACTACTACCTCCGAGGCTATTTTCGACAAGTTTTGGTCTACCTCCGAACTTTCAGGAGGCTGCCATTGATAAATCTGATCGGCGGCCGTCGTTTCGTTTCGGCCTCCTGAAAGGTCGGAGGCCGAGTATGGTCAGAGGCTGCAATTGGGTAGCGTACGTGATCATGCTGAATGGGCTCCTTTCTGCTCTGTCTGTCTGTTTTTTATTTCCCTTGTTACCAGGCTCCACATCCCATATCGGGAAAGTTCGTTGACTCGAATTCTGCAACCGGCACTAGGAGGAAACTCGAAAACGGCCATTATTTGCAATGTCACTCCTTCAGCTGTGAGTTCTTGATCTCTAGTTTCATTGCACTCCTCCAACCCTTCAGGTGTTCCGATGTGCATCTTCTGGTGAACGTGTTCTGGGACTTCTGCCCTGGGTGGTCAAGCACAACGGCTCTGAACCAATTCTATCTGGCAAGTCCCAATGGGTTGGCAAGGCTTTTTCATGATTGTTCGAGGCAGGTCGTGTGGGGTTGCTGTGGATGGGGTTGTAGGCACAGTCAAGTTGCAGGGGCTGAAGGATTGGAGACATGGAAGCGCCCCCTCCTCTGCCTCTCACTCTATCTTGTATCCTCTCAATTTTATGGATTCTTTTTTTTCTGTCAAAAATGTGGAGGGTTGTGGTGTTGATGTCGCTTGAAATATAGAGCAGTGTTGAAAACGGGGAAGGCGGGGAGGATGGCAAGAGGGGAGATGTGAGATGTTGACGGGTGGGATCACAGGGAGAAGGAAAGGTCTTGACAATGAGAGGGGGTGTGAAAATGTCCGAAGAGAGTAAGATGCATGGTGTCATGAGCAGAAGGGCAAGGTCTTGACAATGAGAGGGGGTGTGAAAACATCAGAAGAGTGGATGCATGGTGTCATGAGGAGAACAGCAAACCAGTAAATCACTATGTCTGTGCTGGACTTAACCCGCCGGATCTTGCAATCAAGGTAATCAAGGCCGTCCAACCTTATTGATTACAGAAAAGAAAAGTTCCAAATGTGTACTGTAACTAGGTTTCAAAGGTGATCCTGCAATCTGCAGCTCCAATGTTGTAAAAAGACCAAATGGTCTACAACCCTTTGGGGTTTATCCTCCTTGCCTGGTCCACTTGTTTCTTGAGACTTGTTCTCTCCACTAACTTGTCCATCGTACAAGCTGTCTTGTGGTATCATAAAACTTGACTTTCGTACTGTTGCCTTAACTCGGATTGCCGGTTGATTGCAGCTCCCCCGTGGATAGGCTTGTCACTGTGAGGTTTGCATGGGGATTAGAATGCCTGTGTTATCTCCTCCTGCTAAGACATGGAATCACCGTCACTACTTGTCTTTTGGTTCAATATGTACCCCACAGGCTTGCTAACTGCCATTGAATAGAATCGCGATTGAAAAGTGGAGTCATCTGCTTTGCATTGTGTTTCTTTAAATCTGATTTATGAATTCTAAGGCTTCACATCTTGGAACGTATAACTGACATGATGATTTGGGGGCAGATCCACATTGAGGAGACAAAGACGACACTCCAGTTCGCAAGCCGTGCTAAAAAAGTGACAAATTGTGCACAGGTTAACGAGGTGTGTATGATATGTCGTATATGGTTGCTACTATTGTTGATTCACTCTCATTCTTAAACCACCAGTACCTCACCCAGTTTAAAAAGAAGTCACGGCCATTAACGCGCTGCTACTTTCGGGGTTCGGGAAAGCAACGCCCGG